TGCAAACATTTTGCATCTATTTATACTAAACATTTTAGCATAAAATAATCAATATTTAGTAATATTTAAATAAAATCATATTTTATTTAAATAATGTTTACTAACTATTGACTTTGAAAATAATAATCTATGTTTGGTTGTTCATAACCACCATTACCAACCATCTATTATAATCATATTTATTATTTTAATCCTTAAATCATATTTAAAGATATAAATAATAATTGAATAATAAATCTTGAGAATCTTTCTCAAGACTTTATTATTATATCATTTTCCCAATTTTTATCCATATTATAATAATCATATTATTATTATTTTGGTTTTTGAAATTTAAAATCCTATTTTAAAATTCAACTTTATTAATTTAGTAATTACCTTAATTACTAAAGTAATATCCAAAATGTAATTAATCAATCTTATTGATTAATATATTCCTTTAATTGATATCTAATCAAATTAGATATTTATCAATTAATTCTAACCATTAGAAATACAATCTTTACCTTTGTTCATAATTAGTGTGACCTTTTAGGTTCACCTTAATACTAGTAGTGGGTTTACAACACTTTGTAATTTGAGTTAAATCTAATTAACTCTTATTCTTGAATTAACTCTTTAATTCTAGAACCCACATATCATGGTAACACCTAGCAAGCAGCATGAATCTAGTATTAAGTGAATAGCGAGTAAACCTATTTCAATTACAACTCCATACATGTAAAATCCTTTCGACATCTAATTTCCCGATTAAGTCTTGGGTATGATTTTGTCGAAACCCAAATTGACTTAATAACTATGATTCTATTTCAAGTTTATTAACCCGTTTATGAATCACTATTCATCTCTGCCTTGGCCAAGGACTTTGGATTAATAACTATGAAACACATAGGAAATTCACTTATCTTCATAAGTGTCGAATCCTTTATTGGCCACTAACAAACTTCCATACATATTAACATAATACCCAAAATATCCCTTTATACGATAGTGCTAGCTACCAAAAGGATAAATCAAAGTAGAATGTAATATGCACAAAGTTACCATTGTGCCTCAAGTCTTAGGATTAGTCATGTACTATTGTAACATGAAAATTCTTATTCGACAGATTATTAACTAAAATAATTCTTCATTAAGAATTTTCATACGGTCATGTTCAGTGAACTTGTTCTCTAACAAGCACCCACATAAATGTATTTGCGTCACACGCTAATGTTGATGGAATGCAACATTCTTGTCCAACAAGCGTACAAACTATGTGCAAGTCTTTTATGGATTATTCGATATCCCATCTCGAAACATCTCGACTTGGAACTGTATTTAAGATCACGGCTTTCAAGGTATGTTCCATGATCACCATCTCTATGCGCAACCATACCTTATAACCATAAATGATCTAGGGATTTTATCTTAAGTGTATTTATAAGATAAATGCTTTCTCTTAAGATAAAGAAATGCCTTATTCATAATATAATTCCAATAGACTGTATTTACAAGTAGAATACGTCCAATCAGATTGGAACGCCGGGTACCCTACTCTAACAGTAATGTGGCTTAGGTAAAGATATGAATATATAAGGACACGAAGCTCAAATAGACAATCAAGGTTCTCGAGTATACTCAAGCATTCCGCTACTCATCCCGAATCAACAAGGCAAAACACTTACTACCCAAACAACATTCCACAAACGTGATAGATGCTGAGAACAAGTTGCAACATCATCACTTAACCTTATTTTTTTTTTCTTTTTTTTTTATATTTTTATTTGGAGAGTAACTTTTTCCAACAAGATTGAATCAAAAGGACAACATTCTGTAGGTGTGAACGTTGGAGGTCATCCAAGTTTCCTACAATAGTTTCCCAATGCTCATTGCCTGTCAAAATGAATCGACTAGTAAGAGGAGCAGAATCCATTCGATTCGTCCTGTGAACTCTCAAGTTTTTTTTTTTTTTGAAATATTTTTATTTGGTCAAGCAATAGAAATCCAACTCCAATTCACCTCATTCAACAACGACACCATTTTCACCAATCATCACAAAATCAGTCAACAAAATACATTATATGCATGGCTGACAAGAAAACGCTCAAGGCTCAAACGGGCTACTAGGGATAAAACCGTTTAGGGTCAAAGAACAAGGCTAAAGAGAGTTAATCAAACAAAACGCCTCAATCACTTTCGCAATTTCAAACTCTAATCGATTCCTTTCAAATAAACTCAAGGCAAGTTCTAATCATTCAAGAATATGACCAATATCTCACAAGAAAGAAGAGTAAGGATCAAAACCTCACAAGGCAAATATATGTCACTCAAAGCAATCAAGCATATACCGAGGCAATGACCACACGTCCGTCATCACAACTTCCCAATTTCATCAAACATTCATCAACAAATTATATAATCCACCAATACCATGCTCAAAAACACAAAAACCTAAAACTAGTCCGGCCCACCATATAAGCATGCAAAAATTCCAAATAGACTCCCCCACACTTAAAATGAGGCAATGACCTCATTGCTTCAACTCAAAACAGGAAGTCAAATACAAGGACAAAACAATTTCACATAATGAACCAATCTAGCAACTAACACAAGACACAAACTCAAAAGAAAAGACAAGAGAAAGAACAACTCAAAAAGGATAGAAAGAAAAGGGAAAAAAGGGTGTGCAAACCGAAGTGTATCGAGGAGAGTAAGCATTCACGTGCGAGCCATTCGTCTATGCTCAGCCAGAACAGCGAAACTCTTCATTCAACTCAATTCTCATGCCCGAGCTCGCAACTAGTACCTGCCAAGAAAAACACAGAACTCCAAAACTCCCATTATTCAAAGAATAAAACTAAAAAGCATAAAAGAAAATATCTAGGAAAGTAATAAATCACTTGGGTTGCCTCCCAAGAAGCGCTTGTTTAACGTCATTAGCTTGACGAAACCTGTGAGGAACTCAGCCAGGGTCCAAGAAGAAATGACGATCGTGCCACGCCTTTGTATTCTCGAGAAGTGGCAGTGCTGGCTCTAAGGCCAGAAGGCGGGCACTGTGGGCACGAGTGGCTATGTTCTCGATGTAGTGAGTCTCTTCACGAGCAACCCCCAATGTTTAGAACAGAGCCTTCCCTAACCGAGCTCCCTTGTCAACCTCGGCAATCAAAGGCACATCAATGGAGCAAGTCGAAGAAAATACCATCACCTCCGGAAAGCAGTGCAGTGGCCTCGGAGGCGGATACTCCAACTCGAAGGTAGGAGGAGGGTCTTGTGAATCGACTTCCTCCTCTAATGCATCGTACCCGGCTCGTGGGAGAATGTCATCCTCTTCGGCCTCACACATTTGCTGTAGAATTCGAGTTTGAGGTTCAAGCATGAGGTGTGGGTTGTCGACTTGTGCCTCAATCGAATCGAGACGTACAGTGAGGCTCTCTATTTGTGTGCTCAGCTGAGCACATCCGAGCTCAATCTCCTTTTCTTGGTTTTCTCGGGCCATCATCCAATCGAGGATGAGGTCGAGCTTGGAATTGTACTCTGAGGAGTCGTCCTGGAGCTCATTTAGTTGCTCGGGTATGAGATGTGGGTCCACAACCTCGAGCTTGTGGACCTGGGACTCGATCGATTCGATGCACCTTGCTAGACTTTCCACTTGCTCGCTCAATCGGGCACATCTGAGCTCAATCTCCTCCTCATGTTTCACTCGGGCGATCAATCGATCTAAGATGAGATCGAGTTTGGCACTGTATGCGGCCTCTTCTTCTCGAGCTGATTTGGACTCTATGAAATCAAGAATTTAGTCTAGCTTCTCGTTAAACTCATGGGACTCATAAGTTTGCTCAACCGGAAAATCGTTCCAGCACTGCTCGGAAGAATATGGGTAAGGTTGGGTGTGGTACCCAGGGAAACAGACCGACTCGTCGTTCCAAGATGGGTAGTGCAGGGAGGAGTACCCATGATTGAAGTTCATTGTACCTGCACACCAGAACCAAACAACCACGCGTAGCCAAGGAAAAAGAAGAGAAAAGAAGGCAAAAACTAAAACAAGAACAAAAGAGAAAAACACATACGCACAAAAGAAACAAAAACACTAAAAATACTAAAAGAAAGAGAAACACAGAAAATAAAATCAAACACCAAAACTAAATATCCTACTTGCCTTCCCCGGCAACGGCGCCAAATTTGTTGTGTACAAATTGTTATATTACCGAGTACCGAATCGAATGATCTGTTCCCCGGGTAGATCTCTCGAGGAAGGCGGTTCGGAATCTAGAATTGGTGTTGATGACACACGAAAGCAAGATAAATCCTAAACACTCTAATCACAATTAGGGTTTGAACTATCAGCTAGAAAATAACAGAAAATGCATGAAACATAAATTAACTCAAGAACATGAAATAAACAATGATAAAGATGCTAGGGAATCGGGAATATTTGTTTCGGTTCGAATTGCAGTTAACGGGCAAGTGATTGTTCGGTTAAATGACTCGAATAACCTACTCGTTCAGAGATTCATCCTCAATAACTTTTCGTAACAAGAGAACAAACTAGAACGGCAAATTAACAATTCATTTAATTCCTAGGCAATACAGTTACGAACAAGCCTAGTTCATACGAGCCTATTTCGACCGACTCCTCCCCTTTCGGTTCTAAGAGTCGATTAAAGTACACTAGAGGGTGGTTAATCGACTAGTCCGTTAAGAGTTAAAAACATCAAGCACGAATTTATCGAATTCAATCCAAACAATTGCAAGTTTAAGTGTCACTCTTCAACAATTCTCAAAACTCAAGCTAAAAATTGAAAAAACCCTACTAAAAGATTAACTCGTATGAATTTGAACAACCTGAGCCCGACAATCACAAACGATTTCAAAACATCAATCCCCTATCCCTAGCATATGAATTTAGCCACTCATCATCAATTCAACATCAACATCAATATCAATCAAAGCCATCATCATCACAGATAAAATGAAATAGAAAGCTTACAATTAAATATGAATCCAATGTCGAAAGAACAATGAACAATCCAAATCCACGAGTCAAATCTTGGTGTTTTCACAATTCAAGATCAATTCCAAGTGAAAGACAAGAGAAAACTGAGTTCTGGGGTGGAAAAGTACGAGAGCCAACTCAAAACCTAAGTGGAACGTCCCCCCAAAACTGATCAAAATCGCGAAATAAAAATCCTGCTGTCGCGACCTCCGCGGCCGCGACTTCCTCCTCCGCGGCAGCGGTGAAGAAATTCCGCGGCCGCGACCATCTCCGAGGCCGCGAGCTCATCTGGCCAGTTTTGGGATGTTTTGGGCAGCTCGCGGCCGCGGTGAAGAAAACTGAGCTGCTGCGCACGGCTTAATGTTTCGGGCTCGTTTAGGCTCGTCCGAACTCGGAATTGAGTTCTGTTTTTTGTTATGCGTCACCAACGAACCCATCTATCCAGTTATACTCTCAAAACCAACTTTTCCTGAAGAGAAAATTCGCCCAAAGCTCCTGACCTACACACCAAAAACGACAAAACACAAAAGAAAACCGGAAAAACAAACAAAAACACCTAAGGACTCAAGATGAAGGAAAACACATAATAAAACACGAAACGGACTAAAAACTAAATAAACGACCTAAAATGGGGAAAAAAAAGATAAAATAAACACGAAAAACGCAACAAAAATGAGACAAACATATATCATTTTTTATTGCAAAATCACCAGATCTATAAAATTAATTGCAAAATTACAAGATTTATAAAACATGATTAACTTAAATATGCAATTAATATGCGTGTTAAATGTAGACTTATCACCTTCCTCTCTCTCTCTCTCTCTCTCTCTCTCTCTCTCTCTCTCTCTTCCCCTATCATGACACTTTCATTCTCTCTCTCTCTATCCCCATATCTCTTCTTCTCCGTCTTCTCTCTCCCTCTCTCTGTTTTTATTTTTTATTTTATTTTATTTTTTTCCTTTTGATCGGTCTAAGACGGCGACAACAACTTAGATGAGAGGGGTCGGCGGAGCGATGGATTGGCAAATCCGCTGGGAGTAAGGCGACATCCTACAAATCCCTCAAGTCCACCATCGACAAGAGCCTCCAAAAAGCTCGAGACAATGAAGACGACCGACGCAAACCCCACCACCGCGGCCCTTCTCAAGAAATCGTCCAAGAACAAGAAGATGGACCATGTAGAGACCTTGCTGAAGGAGTCCAGCCGCGACCTCTCGATGTTCAAGTTCAAATCCGACGCGCACAAAAAATGAGAAATTTGTTTTTTATTTTTCGGTTGATTATTGTTTTGTTGTTTTGGATATGAAAATTTATATGTTTCGGGTGTGAAAATTTTGTACATGATTTATATGTTATCACCAGATATGAAAATTTACATGTTGCGGGTATATATAGTATATACCAGAGTGTACAACACACATATACATAAAATATACACTTAAGATTCTCGTAATTCAAGCCAGCGACAGATCGGGACACACATATACATAAAATATACATTAATTATACACCCGAGTTTCAATCGTTTCCAGAAATCGATGTTAGAACCCACATATACATAAAATATACCTAAGATATACACTCGATCCCTGAACTACGGATCTCATTCAGTATCCCACATATACATAAAATATACATAAGATATACACTTCTGCAGACCTGCGATGCCGTAGTTTCGAATGAGGGTGAACAGATTCCTAATTATATCTCTTTTTCCATTTGATATGAACAAATTCCAAATTATTGGGTTAAATACACTTACCTTATCTTTTAATCCATTTATTGCGTGATTGTAGGAAGGTTGCGTGATTGTAGGAAGGTGATTAAAAACATAACGGAAGTTTTTGCTTGAGCCAAATAAAAGCACTAAAAATGGTAACCATGCAATTAAAATCTAGCATCTCATATTTTTATAATATTTTTAAAGTCGTGTGGTAACCATGCAAATTGCCCAAATATTAATATCAAATATCTTTAATTTTTTTTGGCCCACTCATCCCATCCCAATTTCCAATCCATTAGCCTTCTTCTCCATCTCTCTTAAGATTTAAGACGGCTGAAACTTGAAAGACAAAAAATGAGAAA